TCCCCTGCCACTTGTCCGCCAGCTCCCGTCGCTGCTGCTGTCACTCATCTGGGAGGGCACCGGGGTGGGGTTGTGAACCTGGATCTGCACAGGGCGGCTGGGGCTGTTCCCAGCAGAGCTGGGGCTGGGTGGGGTGGGCAGCAGTGCCAATGGGAGCGGGGGCTCTGACAGGGCTACAGCAAATTTCAGGGGGGCTGTAACCCCCCCATAGACTCCTCGCAGTGGCGCTGCCCCACCTGGCCCAGGCTTCACTGGACAGGCCCCGGATCTGCATGGGGCAGATTGGAGCTGGCACAGTTCCCAGAAGAGCCTGGGCCGGGCAGGGTGAGGGGTGGCACCGCTGTGAGGGGGCTACAGGGTGGGCTGCAGTCATCCCAAAATTTCTCACAGCCCCCCGCTCCCAGCAGTGCAGCCCTGCTCCCCATCAGGCCCAGGCTCTGCTGGGGACAGCCTTAGCCCCAGCCTGTCCTGCTCTGCACAGATCTGGGGGCACATGCCCCCCTGTGCCCTCCCGGATGAGTGACAGCAGCAGCGGTGGGAGCCAGCAGCCAAGCTGCTGAACTAGCCGCATACAGTGGCGGGTGGCTTTATCCCTGGCCCACCCTCCCCAGCTGGGCAGCGCTTGCCCCTGCCCCAGACCCTGCCTCCCTTCTTCCCTCATGGCGGGGCCTTGATTTGCCCCCCCACACCCCTTCCCTCACCGCCCCTTCTCTTACCACATCAGACTTGCCTGCTGTAGGCAGTGTATTGGATCAGTATCAGCCAATATTCCTCCTTAAATATTGGCTATCGGTATCTGCCTCAAAAACCCCTATCTGTGCACCCTTAATATTAAGTATATACAAAGTTTAATCATGTAAAGCTCTTGGGGTTGTTGTCCGCACAGGACATACAGTGTGAATTAAAAACAAGCAGGAATCTTATTGGGGGATAAGGCACAGCACCACACTTATTAGAACATAAAACATAAACATGCAACATGAAAAGAATAAAGAACAGTAAAGTTATCTGCTTCACTCATTCCTATACATACTCTATTTATTCATTAATTTATTCATTAATACATACAGAAGAAACAAGCACACACACAGATAGTTAGACAGTCCTGCAAAGGCTGAGGTGTTACCAAGTTCTAAAGTTGCTTGGGTCAGTCTGATTGCGGGCTGGACTGACCATGAGGAATGGAGTCAGGTCTTGTTGGACATGCCCAAAACTTCTTCTTGCAGGTGAACAGACCCAAAGCCTTTTCTTTGTGTTCATTCTTTATAGTGATAGCTGTCCATACAAGCCTATGGATTCCGCTGAGTCAGATGCAAGGGTTATCTTCCTTGTCCCGTTGGCAGGCTGGGATTGGTAGGACATGATCTTCTGGCTTTGTGGTCTGCAATCTTCATGGGGGTCGTTGCTTGTAGTCTTCAGCCGTGAGGGTGAAGGCATGATTTAGTGGTATTCCTTAACTGCTGACTTTGTCTCTGCAACCTTTAACTGTTAAACCACAGAAGGCTATTTTCATCTGCTGTGAGAGGACTGTCTTCCTTCACACTATCACATACATACATCATTCATTCTTTCATTACGTCTTTTCAAACATGCCAGACCTACCACAGACCTTACGTAAGCATTTTTCTTATGCTAAATTTAAGTTTTAAAATCATGAGACCAATAGGTCAAATATATTTATGCTAAGCAATAGGAAATTTTAAATTGATGGTTAATTCCATGGTTATTTAATATTTGATACAGAATAATAATGACTGATTTAAAATATGAAAAATTAAGTTGTAACAAGATTCATTATATATATAATAAAGCAATTATAGCACTTGTAGCTACTGCAATACAACTGCACTCCAAGCTTTGGGTCCACCAGGACAGATGGTATGTAGAAATGTAAGTGCTCCCTTTAAATCACAACCTGCCAGTGCTGGTCCAGGCCTCCCTGCCAGATAGGCCTCACTCTGAGCTCCATGCTCCACCTATATTGGTGTCTACACCCTGACCTGCTTTCAGGACACTGGGCATTGAGGGTTTTTAACTGTTTCTACAGGTGTGAAGGTGGCATTCAGGCTGCCTCCCTGGTGACGAAGTGGCCAGCTTGTCTTCCAAGGTGGCTGGCATCATTGTGGGGGGAAGAGGAGGGGAGGGGCAGGGAGGAGGTGGTGATCTTAACAAGGCAGAACCCGAAAAGTCCTCTTCAAGCAACCACTCCATGTCCCTGGGCATCAGCCTCAAGAAGCAAGAGCCACTGAGTGGGCAAAATTGCATCAGAGAGACTCCAACTGCTGATTCCACTCTCTTCTCCCTCCCCCAGTATGTATCCTGGCTGAGACGGATGGCATCAAGACCATCCTGAGGAAGCAGGGCATTGATGTGCAGACGGTGACGGATGTCTACCCCATCCGAGTCCAGCCAGCCCGGATTCTCAGCCACATCTATGCCAGGCTGGGTGAGTGGCATCATATATCAATTCATGCTGCACGGAAGCAGCTGGGGTCTGACCCCTCAGGGAAGCAAGAGCAGTGATTGTGGTGTAGCATCCTGGATAGGATAGGGCTGGGTTGGGCAGGGCAGTGTGTGAAGTCCATGACCTCTGAGGCATGCCCAGTCCTCTGTGCAGTGCCTGTTCTTGTCACATGGTAGTTCCTTGCTCTGTTATGCTTACTCTTGTTTTCCCCTTCATTTCTGATTGGGGAATGTAAAAAAATTGCCAGTTAACCCTTTCCTCACTGATTGGGGGTGTGGGTGGGATGATGACCTGTGCAGCAGTCCCCATGCTCTTTCTAACCAGGTTATTTCCTTAGATGAATCATCTAGGGCAGAGCTTTCCAAACTTTTCATGTTGGTGACACACTTTTTAGACATGCATCATTTCGCGACACAGTAATTCAGTTCCGGGGGAGGGGCCAAGGGAAGCAGACGCGAGTAAGGGAGCTCCGCGGTGCCCTTCCACAAAATTTTCTGCATTTCGCGCGACACACCTACACACTGCCGCCGACACACTGTGTCGCGGCACACAGTTTGGAAAGCTCTGATCTAGGGGATTCAGCACAGCCTGGCAAAGAAGCTAAGGTCCCTTGGGGATTCTTCCCAGCTCTGCTACTTCAAAGCATCCTCTTCCCAGCACCACTATTTTCCCCACCTCATTTCCACCCCCCCTGCCTCCTCCCTCCCCCTGCAAATCCCCCCTTTCAAGAAACACCATAGTCTCCATCCTGTTGACTCAGCAGCTTGGCTCTGTCCAGGGTGAAGAACATGGGTTGAACCTGCTCCTAAAGCTAGTTCTGATGAATTCAGACATGACATTTCCAAAGTTCTGGTCCCTATGCTGGTTGCAGCCTGGGTGCTGTGATGCTGGACTGCTGAACAAGACCCTCCAGCAGGCTGTGAGTAAAGTGCCCAACTGGTTTTTATGGGCCTATGAAACAAACAGGTGATCAGTCAATAGAAAGTTTCACCTGGAGCTCCAGAGTTCATGCTATCCAGACAAGAATTGGATATTTGAAGTGAGGGCCCTTTTAATCACCTAGTAAAGATGCTGTTGAATATCACTGGGGCTTACACTGCTTATGCTCCCTGCAATCAGATGAATGGTGGCAAAGGGAGTTGAATCCATGCTGCTAGTCCATTGTTTTCTGGATATCACTGCCCCGTCCCTGCCCTCTTCACCATGCCAGAGGGGACCGCTGATGGACTTGAGCTGCAAAAATGCCTTATGCAATGTGTTCAGTAAAAAAACTGGATAGCCAACTTGGAAGTGGAATATTTTCCATGTAGGAAATGCAGAGCAGCTGAGGGCATGGTGATTCCACAATAGCCACTGTTAGCTATGGTGGGAGTAGCTGTGAGTAGGCCAGTGACTCTGCTCTACTTTGTTTCCAGCCTGAGGCAAGTCCTTATGCAACTGAAAGTGCTAGGCCTTCCTGCCTGCCTGGCCTGTCTCCTGAGTGCTCAGAGTGTCATTTGAATTATCCATGACATCCCTCACAGGAGAACACACTTTGCCTTCAGTTCATTATCTGCCACAGCATGAGCTGGCATACGCTAGATCAGATGAACCGTGCTGCCTGAGGTTGGCATAGCACCTCTAGAGTTAGGATTGCCCATCCCAGGCTTGGTTACCTGTTCCCTTTTACACCTCCACATAAATTAGTGTCAGGGAGGCATTAACTTCTTCTCTTCCTGCTCCTCCCAGGCCGAAATAAGCACATGAACCTGAGTGGCCGGCCCTTCCGGCACATGGGAGTCCTGGGGACCTCCAAGCTTTATGACATCAGAAAGAACATCTTTGCCTTCACTCCCCAGGTGGGTGGCTGGGCTTGGCAGGTCCTGATCCTGGATTTGTGGACCATCATATATAATATCTCCAGTTCAGTAAAGCAAACTCCTAAGAGGCAGGGCTGAAGAACCGGGCAACATGTCCTACTGCAGGAGTCTCAAAGGTGGGGCTGTCTCCAAGATGGAATATAGAAAGGATTTCCAGGGTGACCTAATAGCCATGTATTGGCTTCTCCTGGAGCCTAGAATACCGGAAGTGAATCTCCAGTTAAGCTTGGCTTGGCATTTAAACAGCCAGTAGAGTGTGCCACCTATGAAATCCTTTAGAAACCCAGATAGAGTGCAAGGCAGTTGATAGATCATTTAGTTGTGCCATTGTTAAGGCCTTTCTAGGTCTTCCTTTATTAGTGGTTATAGTGCCCACTCCCTCACTGCTCTGGTGTAATGTAGTCTGAGTCCTTCACACCTTAGTCCATGCTGACCTTTCTGGTGTGCTCTCTGCAGTTCATAGATCAGCAGCAGTTCTACTTGGCACTGGACAACAGGATGATTGTGGAGATGCTGCGGACAGACTTGTCTTACTTGTGCAGCCGCTGGAGGATGACTGGACGGCCAACCATCACCTTTCCCATTTCACAGACCATGCTTGGTAAAGACCTTTGGCCTGTATCTCCCTGGGTATCTAGGAAGTCAAAGCAAATGCTGTCTTTTAAGTGGGGGACAAGGGACTACAAGTTTTTAAAGTTGCATCAAAGCCCCAGTTGATCAGTGGGACAGCATCAGAGTAGGGTGGTTATGCCTGGTCCTATGAAGAGCTTAGTCTGTCATGGAAGCCTGGTTCTCTGTAGATGTGACACATGGCTGGACCGTTTCCATAGGCTGATTGGGATTCCCTCTCTTTATCTGTTCACTATAATATTTGTCTCTGTTCTTTGCAGTCCTGCAGTGGGATGCTTTCTGCTTCTAACTGACTGCCCTGCTGGATATAGTTCTCTAATACAGAAGCTGGGAAACTGACTTGGTGAAAAGTTAAAGGAGAATCACTTGGAGAGAGTTGCCAGGCTGAGTCTGGCCTGTCTAGCCCAGTGTCCTGTGTTTGACTGTGGCTAATGCCAGTGGAAGAAATGATAATGGAGAATTCTGGAATAAGCAGACATCATGGCAATTTCTTCCTACCCCATCATGTGACAGCTGGCTTATGCCAGAAGGTTTATGTACTGTCTCCATGTTATCCCATCAGATGGAATAGTGCTCTTTCATGTTGCTGTGGAAGTAGTTTACCTTGTTTCATTTTTTCTTTTTTTAAACACTTCTGAACTCATGGGCCCAATAGTATCTCATGGCAGGGAGTTCCACAGATTAATAGTGTGTGGCCCTGTACTGTGTGAAAAGGCATTACCTTAAATTTGCTGCCTTCAGATTTCACTGGCTGCCTCCAGATTTCACTGGCTGTCCCTTTGCTCCTTGTTGGGAGCAGGGTGAGCACTTCCTTTTCTATCCCATGTATTACTCTTTTGCCTCTTTTTACACTCAGCTGCCCCAAATGAGAACCATTGTTGTTCAGTCACAGTGTGTTAGGCCATTGCCCTCTTGCAGGTTAGATGGTCCTTGCCCTCTTAAAGTGATTAGGAGATCCCTCACAGATCTTTCTTAAAGGTCTCTAATCAGCCTAATTATCCTTTATGCTCACTTAAAAGTGTCTTTAAGGCATGAAGCACTGATCTTGCTCCAGCTCTGTTTCCTTCTCACACAGGCAAGCTGCAAAATTAGTTGTGTATTTTCCCATGACCTCTGTGCATGTAAAACAGTACATAAACATTCCAGCATAAACCAGGGGTAGGAAGAAATTGTTGTGATGTCTGCTTATTCCAAAACTCTCCATTATCATTTCTGTCATTAGCCACAGTCAAACACGGGACACTGGGCTAGGTAGGCCAGACCCAGGCTGGCAACTGTTTCTAAGTGGTTCTTCTCTCCTTTTCACTTGCCTGCTGTGTGCTGGGCAATATCACGCTGCTTGTGCAGCCCCCAGAAGTCCTGACTGGGTGTTCCTTGGCCTTTGATCTTGTTACTACTCAGAGCTTCAGTTAATTGGAAGCCTGAAAGAGAGCGAGGGGGATCTCTTTAAGCCTGGTCTGTACAAAAGAATCAATAGAGTTATGGGGAAGAGGGGCAGGTGACTAGGTCTAGGGTACTCATTGTACTGAGTGCACTGCCAGAGAAGTACTTTAAATGCTGTTCAGCATAATGCCAAATGTTCCTTCTTGACAGACTCTTATTACTAGTGTTTCTCTCTTACTCAGATGAAACTGGCACTGCTGTACACCCAGCAGTCCTGGCAACCTTAAGGAAGCTGCAGGATGGGTATTTTGGTGGGGCAAGGTAAGTAAGATCCATCCTCTCAGGGCACCTACATGCAGTTGAAGTACTCCAAAGCTTGGAGTGCAGTGATGCTGCTGTGGTGTGGTAATGCCAGTTCTGGCTGGAGAAGAGGTGGGTTTGGCTTCATGAGGGGTATGGGCAATTATTGCTGCTGATGCTGGTGGTGGCACTGGCCAATAACCTGTTCCCTTAGTCTTTCTCCTGAGAGACCACCATGGACTTGAAACTACAGGGGGATTGCTGAGGGTCCAAAGAAGGTCTCTATTTTAGCCCTGTTTTGCCCCATGGGTGCAATGGGTGCATGCCCATTGAGTTAAATGGAATTTAAAGTGCTGCCAGTAAGGGACTTTAAGACTCTTTGGTCCCTTTCCCTGTTGATCAAGCCTACATAACTGGGAGCTTTATTTCCTAGTCTCACCTCAGAACACTGTGGGATGACTTAGCCCTCTGTTCCCAGGTTGGATCCCTCCTGCTGACCTGCACAGCAGCATTGTGTTTCTTGGTTCACTGCTCTGATAGGTTTTAAGTAGAGGTTCGAGGATGGCTCCCTCTCCCTGGATGGAGCAGAGGTATTAAAAGCATTGCTGTCTCTTTAGAGTGTTCCAGCTGATGGTGCACTGTCTGAGGAGAGTTCTAGCTCCCAGCAGTCAAACTTTTTCCATGAATCTTAGTCCTGTTCCCTTCTGCTTCATGTGGAATCCTGCCCCACCTCACCCTCCAGTGACTTTGCTCCTTACCCCTGCTTGAATTCCTTATGTGCATTTGCTTCCCTCACTGTTCTACCACTAAGGCTGTAAATATTCATTGCTTTTATCCTGGGATCCTACAGATCTACAAGGCCACTGTCCCTCTTCAAGGCCATCTGAAGTATGTGGGATAAAGTGTACTAAGGCTTTTTCATGGGACGTGACTACATGAGCTTGTAAGGTTATTACAGGTTGTTCCTGGGATGAGCCAGAGAGGCTGTGTGCTCTCGTAGACTCATTAGCAGTAACGCATCTTGGAAGGGTGACGTGTAAATGACTGTGCTGCACCTGTTGTGTACCAAGGTTGAACCCTGGCACAATCAAACCCCCATCAGATGAGATGTCTGTTTACAGCCTAAGAAATTTAGAGAGAACATGTGCAATCCTAGATTGTTTTGCCTGCTGCACCCCCAGGCCTACAGAGAAGGCACCACTGAGTGAAGGCCACCAGTAAAGCTTTGACAGAGTAGATGAAAAAAATGATTGTCCTAAATTACAGGACTAGTGTGGCAGTATTTCCAAAGACTCCCTGAATTTGAAAAACTGACCCCAGATCAGCACCAGACAGCGTGCTGCTGTGTCTGCTGAAAGGACTCAGCATGACCTTATGTGACACTGCAGGGATGTGGTTATCACACTTGTGATTCAGAGCTTTGTGGGGTGGGGGCAGTCTGTACACTGGTCAGATCATTACAGCCCTGTTTGTGTTTCCTGGCCCATGCTAGAGGAGGGCAGAACCATCCTGCCTGCCTCGTAAGTTGAAGGGCAAACTGGTGTCAATTTATTTTTCAACCCCATCTCTTCTGACTTGTGCTCTCTCTCATCCAGGATTCAAACTGGTAAGTTGTCTGAGTTCCTGACAACTTCATGCCGCACGCACCTCAGTTTCATGGACCCCGGGCCGGAGGGTAAGCTCTATTCTGACGATTACAATCTCAGCATTGACAGCTTCAGTGAACTAGAATCCGAGGAATGGCTGCATGGCTTACAATTAGCAGATGATGGTAAGGAGGAAGGGATCAGCAACATTTGTGCCCTGGAATATGCTGTGGTTGAGAATGCCAAACTCATCAATAAAACTGTTAACTCTGGGGCTCTCCAAATATATTTGGATTCCCGCCTTGGTTCTGTTCTCACTTGACCCCCTCTCCCACATTTAACCTCATCTCTGTCTAACATTTACATTGGTTTCAACAGGGCAGAGGGCTGAATAAATCCCTGAGCTGGGTACTGAGTCTTGGCTTTCAAAGAAGTCCTTTCAGGCACACCTCAGTCACAGAAGGGATATGGTGTTGATAGGAAGCAAAAGTTCTATTTTGCTGTAGGCTACTATGTAGGGACTGCAGAGGGTATGAAATGGTTGTTAGGATTTGGTCAGTTACCTGTGTCTAGTTAACTATATTTAATCGTCTGGGAAGAAGTGATGAACCAGAGGCAATCCAAAAAATGGTGAATGTTTTGAGATTGCCAGTTTTAGATATATGCAAAGCCCTTGAACATGTGCTTTTAGCCCTATCCTGACCTAGCCACCTTTAGTGATTGCAGCTGGACATATTGATATACAGCTCTGCTGTGCCTTACGGATGCCTGCAGGGCACACATGGTTTTCCACATCTCCCTCAGGATGAGGAGAGCCTGCCGGTACATCTGGCTGAAGTTACACTTCCTGTCCTGTGAAACAGGCTTTGCTGTTTTGCTGTCTCAATTCTGCTCCTGTTTCCAGAGGCCTCTCATTGCCAGATGGCTATCACAATACTTTTCCTTAACTCTCCTCTATTCTTTCGACTCATCTGTTAATCCGTGTAGCTGCTAATCCATTTAACTGTGCCCATAACTCGCTTGTGGTTGCATCTTTACATTCACTTAACATCAATGGGATCCTTGTGTTTGTTGGCTTAGTTTGGTTTTCACTTGAAGCTTTGTTATCCCCTTGCAAGTGGATGTGCATGTGCATGTTGTTAATCTTTAGTGTCTTTTGTCGAGATGTCTGCATTCTATAGACAGTATGCTTGGGTTCCTGCCAGGATGCAATTGCTATGGGGCTAAATTGTAGCCTCTGCCCTGGACAATTGGTCTCCCAAGCTGGAATCTCTTCCTGCAGTTGAACTGATGAGTCCTGTGGAAGGTGTCTGCATAGCTAGACTGTAACGCAGATATTTTCTGCAGCGTCTCTTCTCCCCAGATATGATGATGATGATGATGATCATCATCATCATCATTAAAGCCCCTCTGCCCTGCACATTTGAGCAGCTGTTCTGTTTACAACTATTGCAAACAGTTCTATCTGTCTGCTTGCCCAAATGCACTCTAGCTCTGCTGTTAAGGGAAGGCCTCATCCAGACCTGAAGAATGGGCAAACACTGCAACCGGCTAGGCAGTTTGCACGGTGAACTGAATGGAGGTGTGTGAGCTTAGTAAGATACGAGAAGAGCTATACTGCCTTCTGTCCTGTGGTATAGGGTAGTTGTATCTAGCTAGCTGGCTTTAAACTAGCTAGCTCTGGTAACAATAGCAGTCTAGCCACAACCAGTTGGAGCTCACTGCAGACCTGAAAACTCATTCATAAATCTACCCTGCATCTTGAATGGGTTTTTCAGCAATACGAGCACTGAGCTCCATGCTCCCAGGGTTAGACTGCTGCTGCCATCTGACCTGGCTAAGGTAAAGCTTGTAGGGTGTGTCCACAATGTGCTGCAGCCACTGCAGTGACCATAGTGTAGATGTCATCTGAGTGTTAGCATGACTGTACCATTCCTGTGTTCACGTACAGTCAGAACAAAGTTGGGTCAAAGGATATTGTTTTCCCAGTGTGGTCCTTGCATGCAAGTCTTGGCCTTTACTTGGAGGTGTTGCATTTACATGGAAATTCCAGCAGTCTTTGGAGACTGCCCCAGAATAGAAATGTTCTCCAGCTGCCACTTGAGATGCATGCTCTGGCTAACTTATAACTCTCCATATTGCATGGCTAGATAATAACCATGTCTGGTACCATGTGGCCTAACAGCCTGATGCTCCCACTCAGCAGAAAGACACATGGTGATGCTGGGACTCAGTGTGTTCACTTGCTGCCATGGAGAACAGAACACCGGTGCATATGTCCCAGTGTTGTAATCTGACTGCAGATTTGTTCCTGTCACAGGTCTGTGAGACCTGTTCTTGAGAGAGCCCTGCTCACACTGTGCTTCCAGGTGTGGAATTGCATAGTTTGCTTCTGTGTTGTTGCGATTTGTTTGGTGTCTGTTCTAGGTGGGTGGAGTAGGGAGCTAGTGAGACAGGAAGGAGGTGGAGGCTGGGATGAGGTGTTCATTCTCTGTGGTGGTTTTGATTCCTTATGAATAACTATTATAGTGTCTGTTACCTTTCAATAAAAAATATTATTTGTGTTGCCATAGTAGCCCCTGTCTCTGTTCAGACCAGAGCCCCACTGTGCTGGGTACTTGCACATACTTTGCAAGTGACAGTCACTGCGAAGAAGAGCTTACAGTGTAGTCTAAGAAAAATGGTTAATAAAGGAGTATAGCAAAGGACAGGGGTGATGGATCCATGCACTTGCTTAGGCTTGCTTTGTATAAAGGCTGAAGGCTTTGAGACAGACAGGCTGGTAGTTCTGGTGAGTGGTGCTGTGCTCTGCAGCGCTGAGCAGCTGTCCTTTTGGAAAAATCTACAAGGGGGAGACTAGAGTCATGATTGGGACCATGCTGAATCCACTGTTACCTTGGTCTGCTGCATGTACTGTTAACTAGTTAGCGGTAAACTGCAGAGAGACGTCAGAGCTGAGCATAATTATAATGCTTAAGAGGTGCTGAGTTGACCCTGTGAGCGTAGCTGCCTTTTCAATGGAGATGGCTTTGACATTAAAAGCAGAGGATACAGAAATTCCACCTGAAGTTGTGTGCAGTGAAAGACTCCATCTGATTTCCCAGATGATATGTAAAGGAGGATATTGGAATCCTGCTGGGAAAGTGCACATGCAATGCTGCTGTCAGCATAACTTTCCCAGTCCAGTTTGACTTGCTCTATTGAGCCAAGCTGATGTTACAGTGTTACAAGTATCTCCTTCCCTCTACCAATCATATACTAGCACAGCCTGGGTTTATTTGTGCAGGTCTGTTCACCTGCTGGAATCTGACAACATGGGCATGGGAAAGAAGTGGGGGAATGACAGTAGTTTAGATGAAGGACTTCAGTTTGGCATCTGGGTGCTGCATTTGATTATCCCCCCCACAACTCCCTGCATTAGAAGAAACCTAGTAGCAGCATCCAAGGGAAAATTGGAGATTGATTCTCTGCAGAGAGCTTTCCTGAAGGCAGAGGTAATGCAGCCTCCAGTGGATGGTGATTTGCATTTCTGAGGATTGGGGTTCTGTGCCCAGATATTGCAGGAAGTGGAGAGGAGAATTCCAGAAATTGGGGTGTCATGAGTAGGTGGGGGCAATGCATGGCTGCTTGCACTGAACATCTCTGTCTAGTGAGTCAGTCAGTTCTGCTGTTTCACGTGGACACCAAGCCTTCTCCCTGTGCAGGGGAGTTCTGCCCCAGAGGAAGGGGCAGCTCCAGGGAAGCCAAGGCACAGGGTGACTAAACCACTCTCTTTTGCCTGCTATTCCAGCTGACATTTGTGATGAAGTGGCTCAGTATTTAGATCAACTCCTGGAGCGCACAGCTCCTAGACTGAACCTCCCTCCCACCGCCCAGAAGGGAGGGCTGCATCGCTTCCGAGCTGCAGTGCGCACTACCCGCGACCTCATGTCCTTGGCATCCAAGGCTAAAGAGCTGCACATACAGAGTGAGTAACATGCAGGCTGTCCTGCAGGGGAGTAACCAGAGTTAGTGCCTGGAGCTTTGGCCCCATTCAGATTCAGACCTGAAGGGAGGCAAGCAGGTGGTCATCATTGCTGTTGGAGGGTTGCCCGTGCCTCATCTGCTGCTTACGTATGGGCTGGCATGAGTGGGAGCCTCTATGTGGGTGCCTAATCTGGAGTAGCAGGGTTTACACTTTGGGTCTGAGGTAGGCTGGGGGGTCATGTGGCATGACGGACAGCTGCAGAACTGGCTCGGGGAACCAGCCCTACTGGATGTTGTTCGTTGTCTTGGGAAGCCAAGCTCTGAGACTAATTTTTTCTTCCAGTTTAACTGTCCCCTCTGCTTGTGGGCTGCCTGTCAGCTGCTCAAGTGTTCTCCCTTGGGTCCGTAGCTACAGGTTCACAGGGCCCATTGTTAGGTCTGGAGACAGGAAACTTTGTGTGGCTTTAAGGATGGGGTGGGGGGTTCACAAGATACTAGAGACAGCACGGAGGGACATGTCAGATGTAAGAGCTCGTGTGGCTTGCGTTACAGGGCAGGAGTCCGTTGCTGACAATTCTGGCTCTGACACCAACTCCCTCGGTGACCTTATTCATAACACATAGCCCTCGTTCTCCCCTTGAGGCAGAGGGAAGCAAATATTCCTCTGCCTCATGGGAGTTTGGCTACTGGCCTGACCTTCTGTAGGAATCTTAATGGAGTATTGTAAGTGCTGATGGACATGTGCTAGGGGCAGGGGAGGAGATGGCAGAGAACTGAGATGAGAAAAAGAGATTGAGTGGGAGGGAAACACTGAGGCAGAGAGAGATTAAGGGTTTGGAGTGAGTGAGGGGAGAAGGTGGCTAGGCTTAGAGTGCCAAATGGGAGGAGTGTGTTTCTAATTTCCCATCCCCCTTTTGGACTTCATGTTCCACCAATGTTAACCCATCACCGTGTGATGCAGACTAGTCCGTCTCATTGCCCCACATGTGGGATGCGAAAGGCTTTTCTCCTTCTTCCCTGGAAGCCAGGCCACTGGCTGCAGCTCCCAGCCTGAAGGAAATCGGCTATGTTTCTGGCATGTGACTAACACAGGATTGGAGCCTTGAGATGCTTCTGCTCTGGAGGGAAATGAGTGCTTGGGAGCAGTCTAGGACTTCCCTTGGCCTGGTGAGAGGCACCTCCAAACACCAGTGTTCCAGCTTGTTGGGAATTAGAGGTGCTGTCAGGGCGTGATATCGAGACCTTGTAGCAACAGACATGCAGGGACTGGGCCTGAATAATGTTGTGGTATTTAAAATACCCAAGACAAGGGCCCAGGCAGGGAAATATCTGGAAAGGGGCATATTCCTTAAATTGGATATCACCCTGACAATTCTTACCTTTTTCCTGGTATTTGGAGCCCATCTTAGTCCTTCGGCTGCATCTCCTTTTGGCCTAGGTGCAGCTGAAGCCTCACTAAGCTTGGAGCTCTGTAGCATGCTGTGCCAGTTCAGCCATATACACATGCAGCATCCTGTGCAGGATCAGAAGACTTGGGCCATGGTGCATGGGGCATTTGCTCTGGCTGCAGCCAGAGCTTAGTGCACATAAGGGGAACTGCTGTCACCTAGTGCAGTTAAGTTGCATTTTAAGTAAGGATACACTGTCCACCAGGAGCTAGCTTTAGCTCTTTCTCTAAATCTGGTGGAGCTACCAGGTTTGTGCCCTTTCCATCTCTTCCCTGTGCTCAAGCTCTTCTACAGCACAGCTCAGATGGGGGTGCTTCTCTTGCCTGTGCCTTGGTGTCTGCAAAGGAGTGCCTCACAGGTTTCTTGCATCCAAAGGTGTTTCTTCAGGTCACTGCCTTAGAAATGAAGTTTGCAAGGGGTCTTTCCCACTCCCATCACATTCTGAAGGGGGCTCTCTCTCTCCAAACTCTTTCAAACTCCCTTAAAACTTTTTAATCTCTCTGCTACTAACAGAAGAAGCTTCTTACCTGGAGCCCCTATCCCCTTCCCCACATTCCATGCCCCAGTTGCTTCCCTCCCACCCATTTATCTGTCATCATCACATCCCTTTGTGTCTGCTGGGGGTGGGGAGGGAAACTCGCACCTGTCTGTCACCGGGAGACTCATGCCTTAAGGCCCTGTCCACCCTATGGTATGGATAGTACTGGTGATAAGTGTGTCACAGTGCAGTTAGGCACACTCCTACAGGGAAAATGCATTTAACACTGCTGTCACTTTCACTGTTGGAAGTGACAGCAGTCCAGTTTGATGTGCTCTGTTGGACCAAATCATACTATAGGCTGACACTCCAGATCCTGTCATATTGCAAATACTCCCTTACCTTGGCCCAACCATACCCTAGCAGAGTCTGAGTTTGTCTGCAGACAGTACCTGTTTTGTGTTGGAATCCTGACTGACTGTCTAGAACAAATGGGTCATGTAAAGACCTTTAAATGACCCAAGAAAATAACAGCCCATGTGCAGCCACTTGGTTCTGGTGAATGAAGGCCACACTTAGTGTAACCGCTAGAGTCTTGACAGTTGTTCCAGTAAAGGAGAACATTTCTAATGAAGATCCAGCTCCCCCTGCTTTAGCCAGAAGCCATCTGCTCAAACCCTTATGAGCTACTTTAGCCACTTCTGTTCTTGCTAGCAAAAATAATGGAATCCAGTTTGTATGCAAGCTTGTTTGCCAGGGTGTGCTTCAGTCTGATGTTTTAGTGATGTGGTCCAGTCCAGTCTAGATGGACAAGGCCAGGCTGTGTTGACAGTGTGATAGAACCTGTTGTGGAAGGTTGGCCCTGTACCTCAAGTGGCAGGTGGCTTATTTGCCTTGGTTTATCCAAGTAGTGTTAGCAGCCAGTGCCCAAACCACTCTGTCATTCCAATGTTGCTAACCTGGAGGAGCGGGTGAGGATTGAAAGCTACTGATCCATGAGTACAGTCTGTGGGCGTTTGCAGCACACTGCCAGATTGCAGCTATAATGGTTTAATTGGGTGAAATCTGCAGTCTGCAGTGGCTGACAACCACAGTTAAGAGCCATGGTTGTGGCAAGGGTTAATTGCTGCGGGGGGTGTGTGTGTGTGTGTGTGTGTGTGTGCGCGCGTACACATCAGGGTGCTGACTCTCTCTACTCTTGAAGGTATGGTTGCCTTACAGCTGCTGGAGATCTTGCACTCTCACCTGCAGGAGAACCACCAAAATGTGTTTCAACAAAGATTAAAAACCTGCAGAGAAAGCTGGCCTGTCCTACTCAGTGTATGCCCTTCCTTTCTTAAGACAGGGAAGTGGGTAGAGCTAATCTACAGCAGGCAGCAGATTAATGCCCCACTCCCTGCCATGACCCTTCCCCCCTCAGAAAGTAGCTAGTCAAAGGTAAGCATTTACCTTGCAGCTTCCTACTTTGTAAAATGAGGGTGAGAAACCATACCAAGGCTGCAGATTACTCTGTCTCAGAGCCAGGTTTAGAGACCACAAATTCCTGGTTCCAAGTCTTCAATAAAGCCTATGAGAGGTGGCACCTCTGTGTTTAATGGCTGGGGGGGGGATTTTTTTTTTTTCTTTTT